CATGCCTTTATAATAGTTTTGGCTTCGAATGTATTCCCAGGGATTTTGAGTGTCGATTTGTTGACTGTGTTAAAGATTCGTATAGATAGAAACGATAATAGTAATAGTAACTATCTCTGTACATACGGAATATAAAGCCAAACTCAAAACAATTTAGTTTATTCAATATCCACGCAATACGGATGCAATGAGCGCTAGTGTTGCAACTCAAGTCAAAAGTACGTTTCACAGTACTTGACAATACCAATGTCGATCGATCGATCGGAATTGGATTCAAGAGTAAGCCCCCAGGCTTGCACATTGTCACTACGAGCGTGTGGTGCCACATGGTGAGGCCGAGGATGCTGGTTAACTGAGACTTGATTACAGCATTGAGAAGATGGCAACCAGAATGATAGTGCTGATCTGTTCCGTGAAGAAAATGTTACTGCCTTCTTTATCACATCTATGGTCACTGCCTAGCACATCGGGGTCACCACTTTTAGGGAACAAGAGTAGGTACTTATACTTCTCTAAGATCGGAAAAGGGGGATCCTCCGACAAGGCTTGTTGGATTTCCTATTCATGTTAGTAAGTAAACCCTCACTTGCGCCACAGTGCCTATAATAGGGTAGATGACTAATTTTGTATTTTAATGTCTGTCTGGTAGATTATTTAACCTTTTGAACGCCAGAGCAAAAACGCATGAACTTGCCCTCAACGCCAGGCCACAAATTCACCGCAAATACCTACGAAAAAAATAGGGATTCCAAAACTTCATCGATAATCAATTTTATTTTCATTTTCGTCTTTAATTTCGAAATATAATGTCCTTATAACATTGAAATTTAATTCAACATTACATTTCTTCCTATTAAAGTAATAGTTATACACTATTTACAGACTTGTATAATACCGTAATAACAGATATGAGACTACAATATATTTAAATATAATAACTGTAGGTACAACACTATTCTTGATCTGCTGTCTTCATATTGTGACCATGGCGTGGACGGCCCGCCATTTTAATAACTACTTCGCTTCCGTAATAAGGATGTGGCAACGTAATATCTTGTTTATCGATGTTCTAGTACAATATTATTTTATAATAAATGAAACACGTTTTTTAAATCAGATTTATAATTCCGAATGTAACAGGTACTTAAAAATATATGATTGAAATAGGTTAAGAAGGTAAATAAAAACTATGAAAAAATAGAAAATTTTAATAAAATGTTATACTGTATGTACTATGTATACATGTTTTTAAATATTAAGTTCTATAAACCTGGCATAAAAAGTAACAAATTAAAACAATTAACGATTATATATAATTATCACAATTACCAATCAGTCTTATACTAATAAATCTTTTGAATAATAGAACAAAATTATACAAAATCTACAATGCAACCTGCATTCTGATCATCTAATTCGCTGGGTGCAAAAATCAAATTCGTCCAAAGATTCTGTTTCCGAAAATTCTTCGTCATCTGAGACTCCTTCTAATATGCGAAGAAGTTCTTCCGTAGTCATTAAATTCCCACTCATTATAATAGTCACTTAATATAAATCTTGAACTCGATATCACAAGTAAATTAATCATAAATATTATTCATTCACTTCACTAATTTCTGGTCGCCGCGCTTGTGACGTCACGATATTGTCGTCTAGTCGTGACCATGGCGTACAGGGTACTGATAATTCGGGTTGCGTTAGGGATGCGCTTGAGTTGGGATTAGTGAATATCGAAATTCGACCCAACCAAATTTTATTTTTGACTATGTAGCTTATTGAATGATTTTTAAGACTGGTTTTATAAAATTAATGCTGCTTAATCCTAGTACCAAATTATACCTAAAATAATATATTCCAGAGGAAAGTTTCGAATCGATCTTTGATTTGAAATAATGATATTATCCAACATGCGCTACATCACTAGCGGTCACGCAGTTATGACTCTGGCGTGTGAGGACATTCTTTTTTCAGAGTTTATTTCTTTCTTTTTAACGTAAAATTTCTCAATATTTATAATGCAATTTAATTAGTTTTATGGAAATAAATAAATTTTGGACCTTCTATTTTACAGGTATATAAATAAATAGGCATTAACTCGTCGAGTACCGGTTTTATAGACACAATTAAAGAACAATAGGTCGCGGTCACCGGTGACCGCTTGGTGTTTGACAGTTTAAAGTAATGTTTAAATAGTTTATTTCGTGTTTTAATGTACCGCTGTTTTTGTCACATATTTGTGTCGTTGGCGCTCAGGGACAGTTTTCGCTTGTCACGTATTTGTGACTCTGGCGCTCAAAAGGTTAAAAACATTAGACACGTATTTTTAATTTTCTTACAGAAACGAATACTTTCGACGATATATTCATTTGAAATATCGCATGACGTCACTTTTGAGTACGATTTATACATACATGATTTGTACTTACTCTAAAAGGACGTAGGTACCTACCTCTACCTCCAACTCTTAAACTTTGATTCGTTTTATCAAAGTATTGTTGACATAAACAACAAAATAAAAAATACGTGTCTAATATTTTTTCATTACCTAACTTACGGACTAATTAGATTTTTAATTTTCATACCCTGCCATCATCCCTTTTATAATAAATATGCCTACTGTGTCCGTGCTATGTAAGATTTATGACGTCATCTGTCGATTAGTCGTCGAATCTTCAATGTGCGACACCACAGGTCTTCCCTATTAAATTTTCTTGCCGAGGGTACCTCAAAGTAATATTTCAACTTGTTGATAAAATTGTTATGATAATGAAAGCGTATAACATTTGTACCTTTATTATACATATTCTAATAACTATTGTAAAAAAATCCTTCCCAATGTACACTGACACCAAAATGTCACTCAATTTGCAAAACGGACCACTGTGCAGCGGCCGCGGCCTCGACAGTCGACTCCATTCCTCGCTGTCAGTTGTCACACGTCCCTCACCGCGCAGATCTCTACTCATTACTGCCACTACTACCTACTACCCACAAAACGGGCTTAGCTAGGAAATGTATAAAAATGCGAACTTTATTCACTAATATATTATACCATTAATATAATAATCACATCACAAAATAAAATTAAATACGACACTGATGACCAACTATTTTTATATAATTGCTATAATCGTCTGTACTTGAACACTCCAAGGGCACCGTCCCTGGCTCCTATGTTAACCTTTGTTACATAAACTAGGTATGTCACACGCCGCCGCGACCAATGAGACGGCTTCTCTTGTTCACTTTTATACCTACGCTACGAGTTTCATGTATTTATAAAAAAATGGTGTAAGGCGTCGCACGTCGTTGACCTCGCAGCCTCGTACTGATCTCTACTGACCTACGAAAGCTGACCGAGACATGCTCGACTTGGCCTTCCGTTCGTAAGGAGTCGATAGAATACTGCGTACTATACGCAGCGAGTAGAAGGTGACGGGCAGCGTTCGCCGGTCAGACTATAATACAACATATCTAATCGAGTCATGTCGTTGGGCACGTAGCACCCTGCACGCCACTATCAGGACGTGCGCCGACTCGACCGTCCGAAACGCCTGTTTCATGTAGTTATTGGTTGTTAACGTTTTTAAAGTTTATCTGAGGTATTGTTTTATTATATAAGTCTAGTGTACTCGGGGGTAGCGGTGGACTGAGGGTTGAGGAGGAAATGAAACGACACGGTCGCTTTAATCCTAACTTTAATAATATATACAAAAGGAAATACAATGTGCCCCCGGTGCGGCGAGTCTGCCTCGAGCCACGGCCGGCTCACTGCGCGGACTTCTCTTGCTCTTGCGTCTGTCTCTAGCTAATTATTTGTCAAGAAACCAACGACAGTTCGAATTTTCCAGCTATTTGTATTGTTTTCACAGAATACAATATTAATACTGTAGTCTAATGTTTTATTTAAACCTCCTGAAACAACAAGCTCCGAACTGTTACGACCACAGACAGTGATCGAGTCGTGATTATGATAAAATACAAGGAAGCAAATGGAAATATGAAATATCGTTAAACAGTTTCTAATGAGCACGCAGTCAGCGATAAATAATAATATGTCCGTCCAGTGTAGAGGTACTGGTCCACGACTCGTGCTAGGCGGGTCGCCGGCGGACTGCGAGCTTCAACATACATTCTGTATGTGCCACACCACATCCTGCACTCGGTTTGGAGATATTTTAATATATTATTATTTTATAATGAGTGGATTTAGCAAATCTAGATAAACAGACCAAGGAAGATCACATCCGGAACTAAATGAAGTAAGTTGCTAAATGAACCTCAGGGCTGAGCGTGACGTTAGCTGAAACTGCATCGTTTCAATAAATGAACTAAGATAATTATTGCACCTAGAATCCATCCGTCAGTTAAGTAATCTAATTGACAGACAATATTATTTATATACTATGAATATCAACTCATTGTTATGCAGTAGTTGTGAAGCTACGAAACTACAAAATATTAAGTTTGTGCATTTCGATTGGAATTTGTTTTAAAACTAGTCAGTAGACAACTAGTGTTAGACACAAATAGACTTTTGGATACAACATACACTATCGAATGGTGCGATCCATGCATGCCGTGCCATGCAACCATTACACGGGTGTGATGCAATTTCAGTTATCATCAAAATCCCAAAACTATTTTAACATTAAATGTAACAGTAACGTTCTATATTATAATTACACGTAGTTCCAATAGCTTAATACCAATGAGAGTGAACAATGGTATCAGTGAGCGATGAGTTTGATGTAAATCCTGAAAGTAGCCTTACTATAGCAGATCTCAGCACGGTCACATATATAGGAATCTTTTTATCTCAGAGAAGCAAATATAAAAACGATTATTTGAAATCGTATCTATAAAGTGAAGAGCACGACGTGGAGCGCTGCGGGGCCGCACGGGGACCCTCGAGGCTGCGGGGCCCGCCAGGGCCGCGGGGCCCACCGGGTCCGTGGGGCCCAACGGGTCCGCGGGGCCGCGGGGCCGCGGGGCCCGCGCTACTGGCGCTTGTCAGCGAGCGCGGAGTGGTGCGAGAGTGCGGAGTGCGCGGAGGAGCAGATATCCTGCGCAAAAACATTCACTGAATCAGCTTCTCCGCGAATCTAAATATAGCTAATAAATATTGAGTTTCCCAATTAATATTAACAATTTCAGTTGTTTTGGATCACTTAGTGTTTGTGGATGACGTTTGGTATTTGGTAAGATTGATTTTTTTATTTTTTTTTATTTTAAAAAACGTTGCCCCACTTAAGGTTTTCTCTTGTATCGTGGGTGCGGTATCTTACTATTAAAATCTCCATACAAGAATAAATTTCAATCATTAGGGGGCACCAAATGAAACGATTTATTATTTTCAAAATAGAAATACACTGACTTTTTGGTGGTTACTGTTGAAATATAAAAATAAAATCAATATTGTTAGTTTGTTATAGTTTCCGATTGTTGCCACATGTGGCGCTAGTGCATTCTGTCTGTTCTCTGTAATCTTTACCGGCTATTAAACGTATTGTTAAACTTTCATCTCGTTTATTATTATTCAACAGTTACTTTAATCATCTTGGGTATAATGTGCCATCTTACTGTATGCACTACGTGCTTTATTATGCAATAAAATAGAAAAACCTGTCTAACAATGATTGCTGCAAATTTAAAAAATGAATGTCAGGTACGTATATTAGCCGGTAAGGTCGTAATATTATGCATCGATTTTTACTATGTTGTTGTCAGTCTCTGATCACGGTTCGATCGTAAGTAATTATGCTTCAAACTCTGTAGTATTAATGTCAATATTTTACAATTTTAATACTTTATTATCATTGTTACTACCTTTCATTAAATGTGTAATGTCTAGATAGAGCGTCACCATACAATAGCAACAAAAATGACGTTCCTAAATTTCTTGCATGTGTGCGTGCAGGCATGTGGTTTATACGGAGCAAAAATGATACGACAAAAATTCTCCCATCAATTTCATATCTCCCATAAATATTTGGGTACATGTACCAGACCATTTAGAAGTAAAATAAAACAATTGTAACCATTGCTTTGAATTTGATTTTAAAGTTTTTTTGTTATTGGACACTTCGTTGATATTTATATTTTTCATTCAAGTAATTTATTTTCCATACTATACATTAATTGAATATTCATATTAAAACAATTTAACATTATTTGTATAAAACCAATTTATAAAATATTATTGCAGTTGCATCCTTTCCATCAAAAAATATAACTTAATCGATTTAATCATTTCAAAATAACGGTCGAATAACCAAACCAACCTTCTTTTTTTAGTCGGTTCGAATAAATAGTTCATTTAAGCGTAGGTAAGTGTTAGTTCAATAAATAATAAAAATATTATTTTATTTTTAATTTACAAGCAAGTGAGATTTTTTGTTAATTTTTCCCTCTTTATGAGACCCGTGAGAAGGGGATATTGAAAAATTAATTGGCAACAACGATAAAATATGCGGCAATTACTTAGGTCAAAAACATAAATTGAATAATGTAACTTTTAATTACTTAACGATGGATAAGTGAACTGTTTAGTAAATTTTAACTGTCATTTATAATTTTAGCACAATTTTATGGAGCTGATAATTTTTTTCATCTTTGCTGTGTATTTTTTCGTTAACAAATTTATTTTGTAGCGTGCATGCACGTAGTGACGCCTAGGTGCCACGATTGGTACTACTTGTGCATTGCAGTGAACAGTTCACTGCACACTTTTGGGCCGCTTGTCGTGAACTGACACTCCATTTAAACATTATATAATCAAATCTAATAATAAATAAATCTTGATTCATAAGAACAATGGCCAACATAGTTTTGTTTGTACATACATACAACATAGTCTGAATCATAGAGCAACACGGGCCACCGGCGGACCGGAGGGGAGTAGCCATACGCAGGCGATCCCCTCTGTCAAAGTATAAGTCCAAATGGTCCTATGCGTACAATAAAACTAGTTGCAACTCAACTGCTCACCAGACTAAATCTAGTTGCGTTAGTGAATCGACGGCGTCGTAAAAATGCCGAATTGTCCTGTTTTTTGCTGCAAAAAGAGATCTGCCACGTCAAATTTACAAAAACATGGTGTTACCTTTCATATTAAGTAATTTTTAATCACATTATTGCTATTTACTTCTTATAAACTTAAAAAAACTACAATATTATCAATCGTCTTGTTTCGGATTTGTTGGTAAACAAATCCGTGCGTACTCATACAAAACGCGGATCAGTCGAGCGACAGATCCGAGTTTTTTTCCTAGAATTCGCTGTCGCCGAGCGATAGCGTTGTTGCCGGTTTGTTTGTAGATAGTTATCGATAAAAATGTAAAAGGTCAAATGTGAGATTTTTTGGGATTAAGTTTTCTGATTTAAATAAAAAATACTGAGTGAGAACTTCAACTATATTTATTATTATTATTATTTTATTTATTTATTGCAGATTTCCTAAAGATCCAAATTTAAGAGATATATGTAAGACATTTTGTCATAACAGACCAACCTGGATTCCCACAAGAAATATTGCCATTTGCTCAAATCAAGATGTATTAGCAAGATTAATAATGCAAAAATATACTGATACAATAATTTCTAACTTATTGAAAAAAACAAACCCCCAAAAATGTATTCGTCATATCTAAATAAAATTAATCTATTTTAAAAACCAGTGATAGTTCCGTATCAGTATTTCATCGCTGGTTTTTAAATGGGATGAGTAATTTAATTTATTTAAAAAAATTAAAATTTTATTTGTTATTATTATCTTGTCTGATTATTGTAGTAGTAGGTAGTTAGGGGTATAATAATTAATTAGGTAAAAAAAATGGTATTATAATTAAAGTCAATAATAATATCTGTCTTTGAATAAATTTTTAAAGCTAATTTCCTTAACGGAGTTCTTAAATTTATCGATAATGCGTATCGATAATTGTTACAACTGCGGGTGTAAGTGTAGTTGCGTCATATTATTACACTATTACGACAGGGATTGTTTAAATGTGTGTGTGAAATTGTCAGTGTATTTTTCAATTGTCATAGTCTGAGTTTCGTAGTGACATAAAATGTTTTTGTGTGAGAATTTGAGAATGTGTGATTTCCCCCCGCAAAAAATGACAGACAGTTTTGTATCGGTTTATATCGCAATGGCTACTCCCCTCCGTGTTGCTCTATGGTCTGAATTAGGTATTGTTTGTACATAATAATGTTATAGTTCGGTCATTTGACAGTTTTGCATTATATTTAATTATTCCTTTCATACGGAAAATAAATTCCTTATATGACAAAATATAAATATCAACGAAGTGTTCAATAAAAAACTTTACAATCGAATTCAAAGAGATGGTTACAAATTTTTTACCCAAATATTTATGGGAGATACAAACTTGATGGGAGAAATTTCGTCGTAGCTGGCATCATTTTTGCTCCGTGTAAACCACATGCCTGCACGCACACATGCAAGAAATTTTGGAACGTAATTTTTGTTGCTATTGTATGTATGGTGACGCTCTATTTAGACATTATATAACCAAAGATTATAAGAAAGATAGAGATTGCCGGGTCATTCAATTAATATTTTTGAACCAGGTTTTATCTAGGCGGCGGCGGCGTGTCCTATTTGACAATAGATCAATTTGTATTGTAACTTTCGTGAGACATACTGAATAAATTATAATGTTTTCGGATTACTCGCGTAATCCTCGCCAAATTATTACGTGAGTAAGCCGAAAACATAATAATTTAAATAGTTCAATTAATTAATGAGTGGTGAAAATATCTATTCGGTTGGATCCTGATATCGGACATCTACCGATTTTTACAAAAAAGATCCAACAACAGTGGTGTAGTGTTGTGTTTGTGGGCGAGAATTTAGCGCGGAGTAGTCGGCTGGGTGGACTGAGCCGGCACTGACCTGGTAGGAGAACTGCGGGAACTGTTCCTCTTGAATGCGCGCCAGACTCGAATCATTCTCGGGCGGCGTCAGTTCCACGGACTCGCCCGTGAACTCCGAGTCGAAGTAGCGAGTGTCCGTCTCAGACTCCACCTGCGGCTTGAAGGGCGGCGGGATTTTCTTGGCCACCAGGTCCGCCCAGTTCACGGACGCGAAGAACGGATGGTTCATGATCTCGTGCGCGTCGTCCGGGCCCGCGCCCAGTCTATTGGCGGGCTCCTTCGTCAGCAGGCCCGCCAGCAGGGCGCGGCACGAAGCAGACAGCGCGCGCGGGAACCGAACCTGCAGCACGGATCACTGTAGCGGCCGCCACGAGTCGCGCGCGCGCGGCCGCGGGTACTCACCTCCTCGCTGAGGATCAACGAGAACAACACGTCGTGGTCGCGGTTGTAGAAGGGCAGGCGGCCGCACGCCATCTCGTACATCACCACGCCCGTGCCCCACCTGCGGACACGCTCGGTCAGACGGGGCGGCGGGCGGCGCCCGGCCCGCGCCCGGCCCGCTACCTACCAGTCCACGGCGGGCCCGTAGTCCGTGTCCTCCAGCACCTCGGGCGCCAGGTACTCGGGCGTGCCGCAGAACGTCTTCGTGGTGCTCCCGTACGTAATGTTCACCTGCAACACACGAGCCATGTAGCGCCGGACGGGGCGGGCGGGGCGGCCGGGGCGCGGCGACTCACCTTGCAGAGGCCGAAGTCCGCGATCTTGATGTGTCCGTCCTTGTCCAGCAACAAGTTCTCTAGCTTGAGGTCGCGGTAGATGATTCCCTCGGCGTGTAAGTACCCGAGTGCGGAGACTATCTCCGCGCCGTAGAAGCGCGTGCGTTCCTCGGAGAAGGATCGCTCGCGCGAGAGATGGAAGAAGAGCTCGCCGCCGTTGGCGTACTCCATGACGAAGCAGACGCGGTCCGCCGTCTGGAACGAGTAGCGCAAGGCCTGCGCCGCACGCATCACATATTACACAAAGAGCCACTAGGACCGCGTCATAATGCAAATTACACCTAATCACAGTAGTACTTTGACATAAATAAACTAGTAAGTGCTGCAAACACATCAGAGCTTAAAAGCCTTTCCAAATGAAGCGGTTTTACTTGCGTGATCAGAAATATGTGTTTTATTTACATTGCAGTACAGATAGACGGACAAAAAGACAAGTATTTAGTGCAGAATTAGTATAACACGAAATATTCATACACCGTACCTAGGCGGGTGTCGCATAATATGACGACTCTATACGGCCTTGTACTAAACTAAAAAGTAAAAAAACTGCGTTTGAAAAATCGACTTTAAAAACCAAAAACTAAAAACAAACAAAATGTTACTACTAAAAAGCAAAAAAGAACTATGAGTCATATATACTGATAAGTTACCCAGCCAGTGATAGGTAATTTAGTATGTCTCACGATGTTATTATAGATACCTTATATTAAGCTGTTTATTATTTCACCATTAAGTTGTATTTTGTTATGGGCGGCACCGACTTCTAACCTATCAGTGGGTACATAATTATGACTCATACTTATTTTTTGCTTTTTAGTGATTACCTTTTGTTTGATTTTACGTTTTTGAAGTCCGTTTTTCAAACGCAGTTTTTTTACTTTTTAGTTTAATACAAGGCCATCGTCATATCATACTACATATAACAAATCATTTAATTTATAACACATCGGAGTAAAGTTCTCATCAATACAAATTAATCAAGCCCAAACGTCAAGTACCTACTGTTAACCATTGACAAGTTCCCTTATCAATTATACTTCTTCATCATCAGACCCTTAATGACAATTCAGCTCCATCTAGGTGTAAAGTTCTTATTAATACAAATTAATGAAGCCCAAACACAAGGTAGTTACTGTAAACCGTTCAGGAGTTCCTTCGACAGTCTGTCGGCTCCATCATCAAATCGACTCCAGACCCTTATCAAATTGTAATGCTTAAAAATGTTTAATGAAAAAGATAGCAGACGCATTATTCGCCCCTACAATTTTCAGAAGAATCCTGACCTGGTGAAAATGGGACCCTCCCGGGAGTATAACCTTTCAAAGGAAAAAAAATTTTGAAACTCGGTCCATAATCCGGTAAAATTCAATACTTTTATCGATTATTATGTCAAAAACGATACTTTTCCATGAACTTTATGTGAAATAGCACACTTATTTCTGAAATATTTTATAGAACAAATCGAAAATTAAATTTATCTTCAATCTAATATTGAAAGTTTTAGAACTTTTAAAATTTAATTTTATTGAAAAAACAAAATAATTTATTTCGACCCAGGAAACTACCCAATTAGCGGAGTAATCGGCGAACAAACAAAAAAAGCAAACATCCGCATTCAACAACATCTATCTATTCACACAATTCAACGATATCATTTCACCCCATATTGGATATATATTGCCACACTTGGATCCCTCGTGCAGTGGGTGCACAGTTGGGATCCATACTACATACAGTATTGCGAATATTTGGTTCGATATGTGCTTGCAGGCAGTTAGAGCCCCGAGCCTCCAGTTTGATTAAATTGTTCCGTTCTACTTATAACGCATATACTTACATAATTACATGGTAACTACTAAGTTCGTACCGTGAGGAAAGGGTGGTTGGTCTTCTTGAGCACGCGGTTCTCGGTGATGGTATGCGCCACCTCGTCCTTCTGGATAATGAGGTTCTTCTTGAGAATCTTCATGGCGTACAGTTTGCCCGTGCCTTTCTCACGACTCAGCACCACTTTGCCGAAGGTGCCCTTGCCTAGAACCTTGACGAACTCGAATTTCTCAAGGGTCTACAGAAAAAAAGAAAAATATGAATTAAGCCCTTCAAAGAACAGTAGACGGAGGCGGTGACGGCGACTACATACAATACGGCGCGGGTCGCGGAAGCTGGTGCCGAGCTGCGCCATGTCGCGGTCGTCGCTCTCCGGCAGCCCCGCGCCCGCCGCGCTCGGCCCGCCCGCCGACAGCGCCGACGACACGTAGCGGATGGCCGCCACCCACTCCTCACTGCAACGACATTGTCACACAGATCTATCTATTATTGCAATACTTTCTAGTTGGCACTGCTAGGAAAATGTATTTCTGAAAACATACTAGCCCGACTGTTATGAAACAAAATCAGGAGTTTTACTAGTACATCGCTTCATGGAAAAACTTAAGATTTGTTTTGACAGTCTGTATGTTTGTGCATGCATCACATGAAAACTACTGATGCAATTGGAATGTGGTGTTCCCAAATATATTTGTCTACTTTCAACTAAACATCTGGTGTATAAACAGTTCTGCCCCCGTAGTGGGACAATAGAGGTATGTATGTTTGTTATTCAATCATGTCAAACAGTTGAAGGAATTGGGATGAAATTTGGAACTAAGATAGATTATGTTCTGTAATATCATTCCACGGGAACGAGAGTAAAGCCACTGGCAGGAGCTAGTTTGTTTTTAATTTGGTGACCATATTCCTGTTGTTGGTAAATCAGTAACAACAATCTAGGGAGATGTGAAGGGACCTAAATAATGTCTCACTAACCAGACATATACTTACATCATTGAATTTGATAATGAATGTAACACAGTACACTAAGCAGTATCTTGTTGTTCTTAGAGGATAGTTCATTTGGAGCTAGCTTGCTATATAATATATTTTAGTTTTAGTTTACCATCTGATTTGTCACTATAAGGTGTGAATTAATAGATTTTCTTTCGTAACTAAGCAACTGTTAAGCAGACATCATTTTGATCTAATGATAAAATGATTCATTTGTCTGTGACTTTGATGTTTTTGACAAAAAATTTTAAATCTTTTTTTTATAAGAAGGGTTTTTTCCTAAGAGAAAAACGACAGCCCTATTATTTAATACAAAATAAAACGGAAAGCAAAATTTTATTACATTTTGGCAAATGCGATCTTCTTGTAAAAGAAACATTTACAAGCAGTAGTAATTACAAAAAGAGCAATGTGCTATATAGTTAATGAATACTACTTTTCTACGAACTATGTAAAGATTACCTGTTTTACATATTTCACAACTACTGTTGTGCATGTTATTTTGAAGCAAATATGTTATTTCCCTTGGCTCTTAAATGTATGTTATACTAGACCACCATCAACAATCCAAATTCCTTTACCGTTTACATTTGACCAGGAATATTGTAAGGTGCATTATAATGAACTAAAGAACTGCATGAACTGGGGGATAAATGGGTAAAAATTAGGTGTGACATGAATGTTATAATAGTATTAGAATAGTGTAATAATAAATATTAGTGTGATTAAAATATTTTCATTTATGACTACATCAAAACCACTGAAACAGGAAAACATATGGATAACAAAGCATCATCCTCCCAAACAGTATTTCCTTATGACATTGTGTGGAGCGGGCAAATCCCATGCAATCTCATGAAGTCATGGAATGATAGACTGATTACTTGTTACACTGCAATGGCATGCCTCTAGGGACCACGTACCGCTCTTTCTCTGTGTCCACTGAGAAGTTGCGCTCGATGACGGTAGTCCACTGCAAGCCGCGGATGGTAAAGGTGTAGGGGCGCGGCTTGTCTACAGCCATTATCTGGCAGTCCCGTACCGTGAACTTGTTCAGGGGATCGCGGTAGTTATTCCGTTCCGGCTGCGTCTTGAATCCTACCAGATCACCATTGTCAAACAGGATGAAGTAACGGTCACGCCAGTTGCGGATGTGTTCACCCCGCTTCTGCAGCCAGCCTTCCTTCACAATATTGCCAGGCGCCGCCTCCGCCATGGTCTCGCGGTCGCGGCCTCGACCAGTGCTGTTTGATAACAAACTACGGCAACCGCAAGCTCGTGCTCGACACACCACGTTTTACACTCTCCTTACACGGCGCGTGTTTCACCTGGATTGAATCACTACGGGCACACTGCCACCAAACATTTTCTCGTTTGATTTTATAAAAATGAACAGATTCCAGCGTTTTCTACTTAAAATCCACGAACGTAAAGCGATGTTACTACGTAGGTACGTAGCCTCGCGGTATAAGTAAGGAAAAATACATTGTGTTGTCTGACATCTGAAAAAAGAGAGCGAAAATCAAATATCGTCAAGAAAAACGAGAGAGTAGATGGTATGCTACATACTTCCGCATTTGGTAGTATTATAACCTATTTTGACAAATTAGTACATTATGTCTGCCACTAGGGGAATAATTAGCGCTGTTCTTTTTTTTTAAATACGTTTTGTACTTTCACATACAAAAAACAAAAGTAATTATTAATATTTGTATGAATATTGGTAAAATAAGCGATTGTGTTGTTGAAACAATTAAAATTATTATTTACATCAACCACATCATTATTTTTTGTTGGGCTTAGGTCATGAACTTAACTATAAAAATATTAATAATAATTGCCCGAAACTTTACGTTTTGTTAAGCTTGCCACAAGAATGAACTTGCTGTGTTATGGTTGTGATCAAATAATAAAAGGAATACAATTATTATTTTTAATGTAAAATATTTCTTTATTAAAAAAATATAAAATAAACCATATTGATAATGTTACATTATTTTTTTAAATGCTGTTATATTGATTGTACCGTGGGCCGCCATTTTAGTTATTTTGATAATGATACAGATAATACATAGCGTAGCATGACAATAGCATGACATGTCGTGGCCACAGCGCTGACAGCGCGTCGCCACAGCGCTGGCGTCACGTCACGCCACGCCATTGTAATGTATTTGGCGACACACGCGATACGATACGACAAGTAATGTATTTAAACAGCTAGATTACCCCTATAGGTACTTATTTACTCTTTGAGGTATATGGATGCTAATATTGCTAAGGTGCCAGAAGACAAGGACGACAACGTCCTTGCTAGAAACCACAAACATATTTGCGTGGCTTGGCCTGTCGTGGCGCGCCATAAACATATCGGAATCATACATTTATTAGTACATTGATCTGTATCATCTAAATTTTTTTAAGGGGCGAAAATCATCGAATGATTTCTCCCGCTTCGACAAGACGGGAGGGAGTGTCCGACTCTTACTGACTAAAAACCACCCCGTCCCTACTTTTGCCCTTCGAGCCGGAGCCTAGGTAGCCTGTTAAGTCCTCCGCGGCGTCGTATCGGCATCAGCCTTATTGGGCCCCATCCGTAGTGGTCTGATGTCTGTGTCCGCAGGCCGGCGGTGCTCAGCCCATGAAGGGCATGCCCCTACAGTGTATTCGCAATGATGACACCCGGGCGTTTCTTCCCGTCCAGGTGCCTCCTAAGCTCCCATGTCCGGTGAGGACCTGCGTCACGCGGTAGATGAGCACGCCGTAGCGTCTCTCAAGCTACTCCTCAGAGAGGGGACTTACCGGTACAATGGCAGCTAGCCCAGTATCATGTAGATGGGAAATATCTACGAAAAAAAAATGCATATCTACCTTTAAATGACAGTATTTTGTAATGGCGGATGAAACTAGGGATGCTAGTAGTGAAACAGGGAAAGATTATCGATATAGTAGCTGGCCCTAAGCCAGCTAGGGACCTTAGGGCTAATTTTGTGGTGCTGCACTGCTAGTTTCTGAGACATTTGGGCTTCCATTTACCTCACTCACACGGCGAAACACGTTGCAAGCATTGTTTCACGTCGGTTTTCTGTGAGGCCGGTGGTATCACTCCGGTCGAGCCGGCCCAATCGTGTCGAAGCATGGCTCTCCCACACTTATTCACAATAATAATTATAATATGAGTATGAGTATTGATTGTATGAGTATGAGTATTTGAGCCAGTATTACTTAGTATACTTACACACTCATCTTCTTTCTATTATTTTATTTAGAACTCAAGAACGCCTAAATCGATATGAAAATTGGTGGGGACTGGGGAGGTAGGTTAGAACTTAGAAGACGGACATAGGATACTTTTTTTACTTTAAAAATTAAACCCGTTTCCCGTTGTCACACCATAACTTGAGAACGGCTGGACCGATGTTTTTGTTGTGTTTGTTATCGTCAGGAGGAGGTTCTTAAGACAGAAAAAATCCTGAAAATCCTACGGGAACGGGAGAAAACGGGATTGCGCGTACGTGAAGTCGCGGGCAGAAGCTAGTAATTATAAGTAGTACTAGTACGCTTCCTTGTAGCACACTGTATTGTACATTACTAAGACTAAACATATTATTTATGTCAGCTCAGTATTGGTGCGTGGACATATTTTTTTAATATAAAATAATATTATAAAAGTAATATTTTTAAATATATAGGTATATGTTATGTTGTTTGTTGCCTATTCTTTAAGTATATTATTAACAAATATTTATTTATACTAAGTAATACTGGCAGAAATATAATTCGTTTTAAAATAGCACTGGCATAATAGGTAACTGAACTCCTATGAGAAAAAAAATATATACCTCTATATTACAGTAAGCGTACAAACTTCCTTGGTTTATTAGCTACCGAAAAACTTTGGTTATTTATAAAATTCTCAAAAATGAATAATAACTTGATGGTAAGTAAAGTGTATAGAGAAAAGGCCAATTTCAAAAACATCTTTATTTACAAAATTTTGTTCAGTGTAGCTCCTACGGTGAGTACATGCCCGCACACGTTTCCTTATCTCTGTGACGGTCACTCTAAAGGTCATCCCACATATAAAAGCACGGCGTCGGCGCGCTGACGCCCACACTCAACTTTGGCTCCTATATAGAGTCAAAAGCGCAACTGGCTGGTAGGAAGATGGGTGTCCTATGGAGGGTGAGACGGTACTTCACGCCGAAACAATTGCTGAGTCTGTACCAAGCACAGGTTCGGTCCTTTATGGAGTACTGCTCTCATCTGTGGGACGGCTCGGCAAAATATCAGCTGGACGCGTAAGAGCACATTGAGAGGCGTGCCAAGAGGCTCATCGACGATGATGCGCTTGTGAAGGCTCAGCTTCAAAGCCTCGAACACAGGCGTAAGGTTGCAAGCCTTTCGGTTTTCTACCGGATACATTTCGGTGAGTGTGCGGGGGAATTGCACAACTTGATTCCCCCTAGTCCTTGCCATCATCGTACCACAAGACAATCGGCGAAGCGTCACCGATTCATGGTAGATGTTCCACCCACACGCACGAAGCGCTTCGCTTCAAGCTTCCTTGTGCGTACTGCTAAAGAGTGGAATTCTTTGCCAGAGTCTGTATTTCCTGAAGGGTATAACCTGGGAGTCTTCAAGGCCCGAGTGAATAGGTTGCTTATGGGACGACGTGCTCCATCGTAGACCGCATCATCGCTTACCATCAGGCGAGATAGTGGTCAAACGTCGCCCCATCAAATATATATAAAAAAAAATAAAAAAAAACTTCTCCCGCCTGGGTCAGGCGGGACCGCGGGAGGGAGTATCAGACTCTTACAAACTGAAAACCACCCTGTTCCTACTCCCGCCCTTCGAGCCGGAGCCCCGGTAACCCGTTAAGCCGTTAATGTGTTAGTGTTACCATCTATAACTAAAAGAAAGTATGAAATGGTCAAATGTACCGGCATTTTAATAAAAACTTGCCGTTGTTTGTAAATCTTCTCCAAGTTAATATATATGTTAGTAGTTATATATGTAGTTGTTGCAATAAATAAATGATACTTCTGTGATTGTTGTCTGGTCGTCAAGTTGAAAAAAGGACGTCTCCTCTTGAACGTCCTTGTTGAAGGTTGAAGGTTGTTTAACAACATAAAAGAAGTTAAGAACTCTTTGGGTCAAACGTCACGTGTTACGTGACACCTCGCGCCCACCCAGAGTAATAATAAATAAATAAATAATAAGTATAGCGCCTATCTAGTGCCTACCGCTACCGAATGTAGTTATACGTATTTATAATAACTATATGATAGATACCTCTACCTACCCTTATTTATAACTGCATATGCTTTTGAAATTCTTATAAGATGTTGGAAATAAAGAAGGATTGAAGGATGACAAGTATTCAGCAAGACAGAGTCTTCGTCTAAGACAGATTCTGGTTGTTGTTGCGACGTGAAACAAAATACGAGACTTGAAGCTGAAACCGGAGAGTCAACTTCGTATGGAAGCTCCCGGGCCGGTAGCGCCGATAGTGCCTGCTAGACCACCTGCGCCTGCTCCTATACAGCCGACAGTGGGACAAGTGCTCTGTCAGACAAAAATTGTGCTTGTCATAATTATTATTGCTATTGTTATATTAACAATATTAGCGTTCGTCCAAGTCGTTATGCTACAAGTGCAAGTAAAGGTCACTCATGTCAGCCCTAGAAACTCGTAGGTACGGGCTCTGAAGGGGACTACAAGTAAGTATCCAATGCCCGTTTTCACCAATCTCTCTTAGATTTTAGGGAACCCCTAAGCTAAGAAGTGACACTACTGACACTTAACAATATTTTAACTTTCATCACAGCGGCAAGGTCGAAAGGGAAAACCGGGAGTCGGATCTGGTGCTTTTCAGATACGGATATGCAATAGTTATTATGTATCTTATTAAAACTACTGATCCAATCGACTGCAAGGTTGGTGCGTGGCTGGGCAACCGGCTGCCGTGCAACGTGTCACGGGTTCGATTCCCGCACGGAACAACACTTTGTGTGATCCGCAAATTGTTGTTTCTGGGCTGGGTGTCATTGTGTATGTGAACTTGTATGTTTGTAAACGCACCCACGACAAAGGAGAAAATCCTAATGTGGGACAACGATTTTTATAAAAAAAATCTAAAACAAATTTTTCCGCTTCGAACAAAAAAGAATCACTCAAATCGTGCCGGGGCTCCGGCTCGACGCGCAGGAGAAG